ATGATCTGGTATTGTAAAATGATTTTTTTATATGTTGCACACCGGGTGAAGAATCAGTTGTGTAACATCGACGGTTCTTCAATGTAGATCTAGTTGAAAGTTCCAAGTTAAAAAAAGTGGATGCACTTTTATTAGATACTTGTACTGGAGCTGGAAATTTTGTCTTATCATTACGGTGCATTTGCGGAATTAAGCGCAGACGATTGGTCACAAATCTAAATATTTGGTCTCCAAATTTTAAATTTAGTACCAATCATATATTAATAAAACAATGTTAAATCCCGAAAAATTTTTTTGAACTTATCCTCCCCTTTTCTTTAAATTATGGCGTGAATATAATGTAAGGTAACAGAAAATTCTATTTACATTATAAATATATGCTAATAAGATACAAGTATTTATATAGCTAATAAGGTTTTACAACATTAAAAAACAAAATAAATTTAGAATAGAGCCAATCGTTAATTTATCCATTTTAAAATTTCCCATTTATTAAAATTTCGAATTCGAATTTTTGTGTAAATGAAAAATAATTTTTTAGTAAGTGTGCTTAAGTTTTGATAATCGTATTTAAGAAAGAGATTATCAGTAGATTACACAGATAGCTTTGAAATGCAAAGTAATACAATACATTGTTTTATTGCCTAATTAATTATATATACAATTAAGGTTTAGATTAGGAATTTGATTTATGTTAAAATTAACAAATATCCGTACATAATGGATAACAGATCCAAGCATTAGTTTGGATGCACATAAGATATGATTTTTTTTAAAATTATGGCGCGAATAAATTGTAATCTAGCAGAACATTCTACTTACATTATAAATTTATGTTTATAGAATAAGTAAGAGAAATATTCCGATTTTTTTATTATGTATAAATATATATCAGCAAAGTATTTTAAGCATAACCGGGATATTACCCTTTAATAACAACCTGGGTAGTTACTACAGCAATTTATAAGTTACATTAAAGTTATTTACAATTTAAAAAACCATTTCAACAGCTTAACAAAATCTTAAATTTACAATTAGTAAGGTTAAAAGTTTAGACTATCAATATGAAACCTCTGGGTGTTATTATTTTGAGTTGCTTGCAGAATAAATAAAGAGTAAATGGAATCTTGATCGATTTCGGACGATTGAATTGATTCTGATTATTTTTGTATTTATTATTCATTCTGCTCATTTTGTGACCTATACATATTGTATGCCTCTATTGTGCAATGTTTGGTGATGCCCATTCCAACTTAAATATCTACATCGGTGTTATTCAATTTTTGAGCTGTATGTTTCGAAGGTAATGGTTTACAATCCTCCTACTAGCACAGTTGATAACTGTAATGAAGCAAGCTTTTTTTCATAAAACTAGAAAACTTCTCACGGCCTACATGACGGTTTGAAATCTGAAGATTTTATAAAAGAACGGTTCATTTTTATTTTTTTTTTTTGTATTAAACGAGAAAGGGAATTTGAATTATATATTTGAATTATCAAATTAATATCTTTTTATATAAGCTTAAATGTACGAGCTAATGACGTATTTTTCATGTGAGAGGTCAGGGCAATAATTAATAATATTCATTTAATGCCGTTGAATCCTAAAAATTAGGTAAGCATCTTAAGAAATTTTTTTTTAAAAGTTTAGGATGAAAAACTATATTTATTTTGGTTTTAATTATTTTTCTATTTCAATTTTTTATCTAGCCAATGAAGAATATGCTTTATACCTGCTTCAAGATCCGGGCACAACACAGTTTTAGTTATAGATAAGCTTTATTTTTATAGTGGATCTTCTTCCTATAGTTTTTTTTTATTTTCATGTTTCAAAATTTTTTAATTTAATCAAAACTTCATCAATACATTGGACTAATCTTTCTTTTGTTGTGATGCATCCCGAACTTATGGTCTTCTGTAGTTAATAATAATTCCATTTATTTTTTTAGTGGTGACTTTTATTTAAGTCAAGTAGATAATTTTGATACATTAACCGAAAGACGAGTTGCGTTTAATTTTTCTAGAACTAATACTACATTAGAACAGCATATGTAACTTATGTTCAAGGTATTTTTTTAGCGTCATAGTGAATGCGATATGATAATGTTAAATACTTCAAGTTTCACATTTTCATCATTATTATAGACAACTGCGCCTCCTCCACCATCAAAGTGCACTGCAACATTACTACAAAATGATGATAATCATTTATGTTGGGGGATATTTATATAGAAATAACAAGATTTTGTTTCAATAATCGTAATATTATCAATTTTTTGAACAGAATTCTCAAAATCTTTTTTTTAATAGATATCAGTCAGTGTTAATATAAATTACAATTTGTAGAAAATTATTGTAAGTATATAACATTATTTTTTGATTACTAAATTATTAATCAAATAATATTAATGTTCTTTGGCCTACTTTAGGTCAATTTCTATCACCTCAATATGGTCACGCGTTAACTTTAATACGTACTGTATAAGTTTACTTGGTAATATAAGGTAGCTGCGCGACGCAGTCACGCTAGAAACCAGGAACGAAAGCAAATATAGTAGCTAACAAGTAGTCCAAGAAACGTACAAATGAGAACTGATCTAGCATCTTATTAATATATTGTGAAGCATTTATATACTCTATAGGCAATTGACTCGTATTAGCTAATCAAAAACAAAAGTCTACAAGGTATTATATAATAAATTGTCAGGTTATCAGGTTATCCTAAAAATTATTTTGCTATTGCCTTTGACGATCATTGACTAACATTGTCGTTGATCTATATGCGTGATGAATTCATGTGTGAAAAATAACCAAATTTTGATGAATAAATCATGCAGACAAATCCCACTTAAAACAGCATATAATCCTTACACTTATTACATTCGTACCTGGTATAAAGTACAGATAATTTCTGTCAGGGATGATGTTAAACTGGTGTCTCGATTTTTAAAAAGGTGCCTTAAAAAAATCTACATATACTCTGTTATAAAAAAGCCCAAATTCTAATTCCTAATCAAACTCTAAAAAAAAAAATTCATATTAAAATAAGTTCAGATTCCGGCGTCATCTAATTTCAGCATCATCATGGATATCACTATTTATTTCACTAATGCACATATTTTCATCTTCTTAATTAGCTCAGCATTACCTAATTTTGATAATAGATAGATATTCTCAAGATCTAATAACCACCTTAAATATTACAACTTTTGTTTGGGCAAATCTTACGGCTTTGAACGATGGTTTTACATCTGTATTATATTATCATACTGCTACATTAGTTAACAATTATATTATTGTTGAATTTTGTAATCAACACTATAAGATATTATGACTTTAAGCTATAAAGTCTTTATTACTGAATTTAGGAAAATATGATCCTTATTACTTTTCCATCTATTATGATGGCTATACAAACAACATTTCTCTTCTTGATATAAGTCAAAAAGATAATTATAAGTGGGTTAATTTATATGAAATCCATAATGAAATCCATAATGGCACCTAACCTTCATCTTCAACTCCAACTCAAATCTATATTAGCACTTCCAGTCAAACCTTTGGGTTCGTTAGTTCAATTATTGGTATAATTTCAGGATTTATTCGTGTATCTTGTATTTATTATACATATTGTAAAAATAATATGCATGTCAATAATAATGAACCGGCAGCCGGTGTCTATTTTTGGGGTGAAATTTATTTTCAACTTTTTAATTTCCATAACAATGATTTCAACAATATTTCGACATTTTTAATATTTCTATGAGTTAAATATAAAAAAAACTATTGTACTTAATTTAGCTTAGTTAATTTTGTTATAATTTAAATTAATTTTTATTACGTAATTAAAAACTGATTTAGCCAATTTCACCAAATAATTTCAACAATTTGATCAAACTTTTTATTAACAAGAGTCATTTCACACCCATCTATACTGATGTCCATGATTTCATTATCATGTTATACTGAATAACATGGTGTACTATAGGTATTGCATGTAGATATATAAGTCAATTTTCGGAATCAAATTAGTATCCAAATAAAGTTATATTCGTTCCCAAAATTTATATTATTGGTGTTTAATTTTTTTTTGGAAGGCTTTAAATAAAGTTTTTAATTATTGTATTGTGGTAAGAAATACCTTTTATATAATTAAATTCTTTACATAAATAGAACAAGAGATCAAGGCTAAAATAGATGACATTTTGTCCTATCAATAAAATCTATCGATTTTATCGGACCTTTTTGTTAATCAATTTGATTACCAGAAGTGTTAAATTTTTATTAATAAAAAGAAACTTTTATCCTAACAAAAATACATAGTTTAGAATAGTCCTAAGGGTATCGATATGCATCGGGTGCTTTGGATGGGTTTAGCCTTGAAGATGTCCTCGTGATACAAGATGGATTGCATATGTAGGAGGTTTAAAATCTGAATAGTAATGTATACGCGGATTACCTAAATTAGGCCTCAAAAGTGCACGTGTGATTAGTTGTAATCTCATATATAAGGAAACACTGTGTCCGTATAACGAATAAAAACATCGTTCCTCAAAGACAGAAACTTTAACTTAAAAAAAAAAATAAAAAATAGATTGTTTAGTGATTAACAAAAAGATCCTGTATAGAACTTTTCAAATATCCGGTAATTATATTACAGTAACGTCGAAATTTATTTGATGTTCATATTTAAATCATCTGATTATTTAGACCTAAAGTCCAATTCTGTAATCAGCGGATATGTGATAATTTTGTCTAACCAAATTAGGTAATTAAAACAATGATTTTCGGTTCTACAACTATCTGTGTAATCTAACAATAAACTCTTCCTTAAATGGGATTATCAAAACTTTATTTGCCCATTTCTAAATTTGTCTCTTTTTATAATGCTACGTAGTGAAAATTTCCCTTTTTGTTTTTTCATTTAACATAATTACGGGTTCGAATTTTATCAAACTTTATTGTTTTGTGTGTATTAAAAAATGAATTTACTGAAATATCGACTTCATACTGTAAATGAACAAGAATTTTTTAGTAAGTGTGCTCAAATATATGGGACTTTGCTAGGAATTTTTTTCTAAAAATAGATTTATTCGGAAAATCCAACAGGAGGAACCGTCGATGTTACACGACTGATTCTTCACCCGGTGTGCAACATATAAAAAAATCATTTTACAAT